CTCTCTCTCTCTCTCTCTCTCTCTCTCTCACACACACACACACACACACACACACACACACACACAAAGGGGGTCCGAAATCCCCCGACAGGTGACTGCACTGGGGGGGCCCGGCCCCCAACCGGGTGCCCTGCCCGACCAGGCCGCCCGGGACCTCCCCCGGGCCCCTGCCGGTCACCCGGGCGGCCCGGATCCCCACTCAGAAAAAGAACCTATTTTACCAGGGCGGACGTCCGGGACCCCCCTGGATGTCCGACTTGTCCGATCGGTCAACTGGGGAGACGTCTCCCGGAGACAGTATGTCCGCCCCCCCCCCAAAAAAAAAATATAATAATAATAAATGAAATTCGAAAAAAATTCTGTGGGTTCCGCCTATCGTGAGGTGTATGCCAAGAAACATTTGGGTCGTTTGAGCCCGTAGTAAAAAAGATAAAAATCGCCAAAGATGTCTTTGTCAATTTCAACCAAACAGGTCTACTTTTTTTGGAGAAAATGAGTTGTCGGGGATCCCGGACAACTCCGGTCCCAGACATCCGACGGAGTAGTCAGCCGGAGCTGTCCGCCGATGAGAGAGAGAGAGAGAGAGAGAGAGAGAGAGAGAGAGAGAGAGAGAGAGATTGATCGACTGCAGTTGCCCATTGGATGTGGTGAGTGGTTGGCCGGCGTCACGGGTAGGCCGTGAAATGTGGTCGGCGCAGTGATTGGCATGAACGCCGCACCAAGATGGGAGATTCAGGTCAGTGGCCCCCTCCCAAGACCTGCCTCCCCCCCCTCATCCGCCCCTCCCTCCCCAGCCTCTGCTCCTCGCCACCCCTCCGCCCTCTCCCCTCCTCCTCCGCCGCTCCCCTCCGCCAGCATTCGCCTGCACTTCCCTCCACCAACGCACCCCCCGCTAGCGCTCTCCTGCGCCAGCGCTCCCCTCCACTCCCCTCTGCTCCCCTCCGCCAACACTCATCTCAACTCCCCTCCTCCCCTCCGCCAGTGCTCCCCTCCACTCCCCACCGCCTGTGTTCCTTGCGCTTCCCCACACCAGCATTCCACTTCACTCCCCTCAACCAGCGCACCCCTCACCACTGCTCTCCTCCGCCAAGGCTCCCCTCCGCCAGCGCTCCCCTCCAGTCCTCTCTGCCAGCACACCTCCCCACTCCCCTTCGCCAGCATTCCCCTCCACTCCCCTTCGCAAGCGCTCCCTTCCACTCCTCTCCGACAGTGCTCCCCTCCACTCCCCTTCGCAAGCGCTCCCTTCCACTCCCCTTTGCAAGCGCTCCCTTCCGCTCCCCTCCGCCTGCTCCCCTCCACCTGTGCTCCCTGGGTTCCCCTCTGCCTGCACTCCCCTCCGCTAGCGTTCCTCTCCGCCAGCGCTACTCTCCACTCCCCTCTGCCAACCCTGCGCTTGGCAAGGGGGCTCTTCCCACCTCCGCTTAAAAAACAAAAAAAAAGTTTGGCGCGCACTGTGTGTGTGTGTGTGTGT